ATATTGCAACAGTATTCCATACAAATATGGATTTGAAATTTATAGAAATAAAGAATAAAATCCAGAGTAAGAAAGTGTTGAGTTGGATATAGAGATGCAACTTTAGCAAATGTTTTCTTTAGCTAATTTTTTCAACAGATTTGATATATGGTTTCTAAGAAAGATTGGAACTATGAGTTAATCCTACAAGATGAAGGGTAGATGACTCATCAAGTACATTACCATTCATAAATATAGGAAGATCTAAATTATTGCGATAACAATTGGCTGAAAAAAATTGAGTTTTATCTGAATTAAAGTTCAACAGCTACTTTAAGCTCCAAATGTCCCGTCAAAGCAATGCCACCTTAGATGTGAGAATATCTGAAAGATCGTTAATGTAAATTAACGATCTTTCTATTATATTACGATCTTTCTATTATATTACGATTGGAAGGAAAAGACTTAATAGACTTAAAGATGTTACCATATACACCCTAAGAAGAAAGCTTATGGAGAAGACCAGCATGCTAAACTTTATCAAAAGCTTTAGATATGTCAAGAGCAATAGCCTTAACCTCTCCACCTTTACTTTATACGCAATAAAACCTATAGATTATTATTGTTAGCAAATCAACTGTAGAACAAGAAGATGGAAATCCATATTGATGATCAGAAAGTAATTTATTAGATTCAAAATGTGAGATTAATTTTTTGTTAATTAAATACTTAAAAATTTTGTTTATGATAGGAAGAAGACTAATGGGACGGTAGTTAGACTAATCAGATTGTTCTCCAGAATTTTTGAAAATAGGGATAACAGGTGCTGCTTTCCAGCAGGCCGGAAAGCAAGACTCTGATAAGCACTTGTTACATAGTTTTGAAAGTATAGATAACAGAGAACACTTCTACAAGACTACAACAGGAAATCACTTTAGATACAGAAGCTGGAGTGATACAAATATCAAGCAATGGATCAACCTGATTGATGACTATATCAGGTAGAACGCAACTAGTGGAATTAAGAGATGGTATTGATGAAAAGTTCCTAGCAAATAACTCAGCTTTATCATTAGGTGAGGTGACAAAGTCTGAATCATATAAGTGAGGTGGAATAACAGATTTGCCCATATAAATTGATACTGTTAAAGATTCTCCAGAAATCATAAGAGTCTGATTTTTGTGATGAAATATGAGATTTTATGACCTAAGAACAGTGTGCTTAGGCATTAGACAAAACCTTTTATATATATATATATATATATATATATATATATATATATATATATATATATATATATATATATATATATATATATATATATATATATATATATATATATATATATATGGAGGGTGCAAGGGGAAAACCAGCAATGTCACATTTTTTTCATTTTGAGAAAACGGAAAAATAAGGTTTTATTACTTTCATTACATGCTATGACCAGATCTATATATATTTGTATAGTTTTTAAATTAGTACGATCTATTACTTGATATATTGGCAAAAAATTTTGAAATATGAATATAAGTTTTACATTCTGCATTGAATTTTGGATTCAGTATCTTTGTTGGACATCACTGGTTATTTCCTTGCAATTGGAATTTTTTCAATTTAGAAACCAAAGCATTGTTTAATTTTTTTAATAATACATTCAAATGCATAACTGTTGTTTAATTTAAAAATTTTTTAATTCAAATAATTAGCACTGTCAGGGAAAGCGAGAAGGTGTAAAAAAAATTGCCAAAAGGGATTTATTATAACATACTGATATAAGTTGTGCCACACACAAATTATAGGCGGTATGTGAGAGAGCAAGATAAAGCAAGAAGGTGCAAAATGCGACAGTGGTGTAGTGGTAAGAGCGCTCATTTTGTAAGCAAGAGGTTCAGAGTTTGACTCCCACCATGTCCCTGGAAGTACCCTGCTCAACTTAGTTTCTCCGCGCAGCGGCCTTACTTGTCAAGGTTTGTGTTTCGGAGTTAAAGAATTGAAAGAGGGTTGTACCACAAGTAACAACAACAACAACAACAACAAAAATGAGTAGCCTCCTCGACTGTAGTGGCCCCCTAGGGCCTTGGGGAGGTGAATTAGCTTTTCCGTAATATTATGTTTAAAAAATAAATTTATTAAGTTTATTTGGTTAATCCATATTTCAACAACTTTCTACCCCTAGCCTAAAATAATGAATTATCTAACACAATTTTTCTTTTTAAAAAAAATGTATGTTAAAGAGTGTAAAGAATTTGATTTGATTTTAAGATTTACAATACAAAAATGATTACTGTTGAAAAATCAAAAGTCTTTTTTAATACATTTTTAATAATATATTACTATGTTTAAAATAATATGTAAAAATAAAATTTACTATAATTTCAAAATAAATTTATCTTTTTCCTTTAATCGCTATCTGTTACAGTAATTTAAATTCACTCATATTCAGACAACTCTGATACCTCTGATTCATCATCATTCATTAATTTAAATTCATCATAAATTCATCATCATTCATTAACTAACCTTTGTGAGGCAGGTTTTTAAAAAACTGCTGGGCCTCTGGCATGCAAAAATATTTTAGAACTTGAAGGTTCGCATATCTAGCACATCTCTTGTTGATCGGCAATCTCTTGTTGTACAAATTGATCGGCAATCTCTTGTTGTACAAATGTGTGAGGGGTTTTTGCAATAACTACTTCTTTTTTCCTATAGTTTTTGTTATAACAACTCTTTCAAAAGGTCCGTTCAAATTAAATCTGTATTGTGACATAGTAGGAAAATCTTGTGAGAAAATTATTTTACAGGATGGGTTGGTATTGGACATTTAACTTTGTAAAATTGTTTCATATGATCAGAAAAATTAAAGAACATTTTCAGATCCATCTTGATCATTTTAAATGGTGAAGGTTTCTTACAACAGGTATGAAATTCTTCCATCCAATTTATTGGTGGCTCTGCTCGAACCTTCTGATTAACTAAAAGCTAATCTCAGTCACACTCCATGTAGCTGTGGCCTCTTATTGGGAAATATGTCTTTATTTTGTGAAACCGTTTTTTATTCACAACATTGAAGTGCAAAAAACAAATAACAGTCCAATTTTTATTTTCCCCAGCACAGGAATCACAAAAAAGCTGCAAATGAGATACATCTCTTGGTAAAATGTCTTCAAAATAGTACTCCAGCATACTCGCTATATTGTCTGCTCCTTTCTGCCCATAAGTTTCATCACAACAAAACAAGTGAACACTGTTTGACTCTAAGCAGTGTATATTAAATGTGTACATAGAGAGCTGGCTGCGATAATAAACATCATTTGTAGATATATTAGGATAAGTCATATTCTTCGCAAAGTCAAAAGCAAGAGCTATATGACCAGTTTTTGAATTATTACGTGCTTCTGTCTTTCTGGTATAAAACATTTCTGCTTTTCGCAAATGAAGTTCTTTTTCGTGACTAGCTTTGATGATCTGAGCTGCATCAGTGTCTTGATTTTCAAGTATAATATTGAGCTTGTCACATGTTGAACATGTATCTTTACAAGGATAACCAAAGCTGATGTTAAATTTTTCTGCAAGTATTTTCCTGATAAGAAAAGTAGACAATTAGATAATATCAAATAATATTCTTGTAAATAAGCAACTAAATATTATCAAAGTACCTGTAGCTTTCACGACAAACTTTATTTTGTGGGAAACGCTCTTTGTACATATTATACATGTTCAATAAATTAAGATCCTCTGGCAAATACAACTTTCTAGTTTCATGCAAAGCAAAATGACTTTGGCATCCTTTAAAAGATTTGATATGATCAACGATACTATTTACAATAATCTCTGAAAAGGCGAGAGGTCGGTTTGTATGTTTTCCTTGCTGGTTTAAAGGAGGAACTCATTAAAAAAGTCCAATGTACAAGCTTCATATGTTTATATATTTTAAATTGATTAAATCAAATTCTATTATAATTTATAGGGGCTTAAATTCAGACAAAAACTTTTATAAAAGATAAATTTGTGTATGCATTATTTATTCAAATGAATAATTAGTACTTAATAATGCAAAATGTTTATTTATTTTTACTAACCTGTCTTAACAAGAGATCCTCTTGTTCTTTCTATTCTTGATTTTCCAATGTTAAATATTGATAAGATAGCATTGATACAAACTGGAACTCTTACAATATTATTATCTCGTGCCACTTTGATATAATAAGAGAATGAATGATCACGAAGAAACCTTTTTTCTCCTTTTTTCCGAGGTTTTCTTCGTTTAATACTTAAAACCTCAATCATTGAAGCAAGAAAACTATCTTGTTGATCTTCAAAACTTTCTTCAAAACACTTATACCGTTTGCAATGACATGGAAAACCAATAACATGTGATGATATTCATTCATTTCTATTTCTTTCCCACTTTCAACCATGTTTTTTTTTCTTTTTTGGAATTTCAGATATATCAGGATACTGACATTTGTCCGCCATTTCAGCAAATATAAGAGTATTATGTTTTTGGCGAAAACAAATCCAATTGGCTGAAATGTAATATTTGGAAGCAACATTCCTATTCTGCGCAAAGGGTTTAGGATATCTCGGGTTTACCCCTTGAACAATTTGGACATCTCTGGTTTGCCCCTTGCGACCCCTTTTTTTACATTTTTAGGTGTGATTTAACTTTTATTTTTTGTGTAAAGATGCAGAAACTTATCTTTAACATAGTTGGGATAATAACTCAAAAAATGTTAAAATGTGACATCACTGGTTTTCCCCTTGCACCCTTCATATATATATATATATATATATATATATATATATATATATATATATATATATATATATATATATATATATATATATATACATATATATATATATATATATATATATATATATATATATATATATATATATATATATATATATATATATATATATATATTTTATTATTATATTTATACATATATTATTTATTCTTTGAATTGACATTAACAAATATATAATAAATCTTAGATAATAATGATTTACATACTTGCTTTTGATTAGTTAAATTATACAAAAACTTGTTTCTGAGTAAATTTTCCATAAAACTTTTAAAATCATTCTAAAAATAAATAAATTTAAGTTGAAACATAACCATTGTATTATTATTTATATTAACAGTAAAATTAATAAATGTTACAACGTTATTTATATTTTAGTAATCAAAAATAATAAAATGTAATATTTTTTACAACTTAACCTTTGAATTATATATTATTGAAATAACAAAAATTATGCAGTTGTTAGTTGATGTGTACAACCAAATTCCTATAATTTGGTTGTACACATCAACTAACTAAATTTTAAATTTACTATTATGTATTTTAAGTAGAATATCTTTTAGGTGAAATATTTTTTAAGAAGAATATTTATATATCTAAAACAAAAAGTTTATATTCTAATATTATTCCAAGTTACATATTGTCTTTTTAATTGTGAAGTTTCGATATCGTTCGATTTCTTTTAAAATATTTTGTAGAACCAATTTTTTGGCATAATTTTTACGTCCATTCTATGTTATAATAAGCTAATATAAGCTTATTATAACATAGAACGGACGTAAAAATTATGCCAAAAAATTGGTTCTACAAAATATTTTAAAAGAAATCGAACGATATCGAAACTTCACAATTAAAGTGACAATATGTAACTTTGGAATAATATTAAAATATAAACTTTTTGTTTTAGATATATAAATATTCTACTTAAAAGATATTTCACCTAAAAGATATTCTACTGAAAATCATGATATTTTTTTTCTAATTTTTTCTCAACGTTTTTCTCAAGTCCAAATGCCAACATATCATTTTTAAACCTTATAGTCGCAATTTGAATCACCCAAATGGGCAGTTGAATCAATAACACTGAATCTCTTCTTTTTTTTATTAGTAAAATAATTTTTTTTTAACTTTGTCAAAATAAATTAAAAAATAAAAAACTTTATTAGGATGCACGTGAAAAATCGTTATTAGAATGTAATTAATGATGCATGTTGAAAAATTTATAAAACATTAAAAACATAATGTTTTAATTACTCAACTAAATTAAATTTGATTGAAGATTGAGAATAACAGAATATTTTTCTTTTTATAAAACGTTTCTTTGTGTTTATGGCTTTCAACTTTTTTGCTCTACATAATGAAACCTTTGTTAAGACTGACAAAAAGAAACAACACGAAACAGATATTGATTAAAACAAAAATGACAATATTTAAAAGTTGTATTTATAGTTATCTCTTTACCAATATTACTTTGTAACTAAAGTTACTTAATATTTTTTAACTGGTTTATTAATTTACATTTTTAATTAAACCCCTGTTAAATAAAATATAAAAGTATATATTTATATACATATAAAAATATATACATATAGACTATATGCATAAACTTGTATCCATATATATACAATATACATTTTCCTTGTGTATATATACTAAGGAGGTAATCCACTAATATTCAGAATGGCAGCAGCAGTTCAACAAATTTGAAACTTGCGATGGTTATTTATAATCCACAGTTGAAACAGGCAGAAAGTTTTATCAAAATTGATGAAACTCCAAGACTGCTTTTTGAATAATGTCTTATCAATAGAAACTTGCCAATATAACATCTATCACCAGAATACCTAACCCAAGCAATTGATTCAACATTCAGCCGACTACTATTATATCTTACTATTTAAATGAATTATAGAGATTTTTTCCCAACTTGCCCCCTGACATGTTCACTCCATATAATTAATATCTATGACTAAAATGATAATATTTACAAACTTATTGACATAATTTTTACATTAACTTCGTCAAAGACATTCTTGCCTATATAGTTGCTTATACAGCCCAACCATAAAAAGTTTAAAACTGTGCAAAAAACATGTGCAAAAAACCAACAATCTCAATCCTATAGCAAATATATTTGTTTTGTAACTTTGAATTGAAACTTTTGGAAACGTGCTTACATACAACAAAAGAAAAAAATTCACTAGTTTCACGAACGCATTTCTCAAAATATACGTCAGTATATAAGTTATTTATATATTATATTTGTATAAGTATATATATACATACACTAATATATATTATATTAGTATGTTTTATTTATTAAGTATTTGTTTAGTTTCTTATATTAAAAAAAAACGTACTTTAGTTTAGCGCTACATGTTTTATGTACATTCACTCAAGAATTCTTTCGTGCAGAATTAATGTGGGAATTATAGTGTATAGAATTATAATCGTTAATGATCGTTCTAAATAGAATTGTGCAGACTGTTAATAACAATTTAAAGGTAATTGTTGAAACTATCAAATTGTTAATAGTTGTCCTAAATTTTTCTCAGATGACATTAATAAAACTTTTTGTTCATAAAATGTTCTTATGAAATAAAAGTTTAAAAGTTAATACTAAATAGTAGTGACAAAAAATACGAACGATAGTAGCAATTAATTTTTGCTTCATAATATGGCAGCAACTTATATGGCAAAACAGTATTATGTTGGTTTTATGTCTATAATAAATAACTAATAACTGTCAAATTTATAATAATCGTTTCAAATACATATGTGATAAATTTAAATACTTTTTGTGACGAAAATTTAAAACAAATAAGAAACATTTGTTGTGCATAAATATGCACAACAAAATTTCATTTTTAAGTACTATAATGTTTAACTTTATACAAATACAAAAACTGGACTTTAATCAAGAAAAAAATCTAAGCACATCTAGCCTTAATTATTATTGGGTTCATTTTGTTTCAAGGTAAAACTTGCTCTAATTTAGCCTAAAATGTAAAAAAAAATTGAGAAAGATGGAAAAATAATAACTTTAAAATGAAAATAGCTCACGCTGTTGTACTAGAAGTTCAAGACAGTATAAGATATGTTGTGTATAAGTTACATTACCCAACATAACTTATAAATCTTGTCTATAATGTTTACTTTAGTTTTTAAAACTTTATTATGTAATAAAAAAGATTATCAACCTAAAAAATGTCATTTCTGAACTTTCAAACTAAATAACTTAATTAAAGATTTATACTTACACTATAAATTAAAACATTGCCTAATATTTTTAAAACATAATTTATATTAGATTATGTTTTAAATTTAATCTACATTTAATACAATATTAATAAAAAATTTAATACAAAATTTCAAAAAAAAAAAGACTATAAAAGCATATTATTTAAATTAAATCACATTTAGAAACAAATGATATACCTCTCTCAATATTTTGTGTTCAATGGGTGAAATTTCTTTTGCAACTTTCAGTATAGTTTTGAACAAGTCTTTAATATTGGGTTTCAGTGCAAAATAGCTGAAAATCTGTTCAAAAAAATAACTTATTAAAACAATTTATAAAAACTTAATTTATCTATACTTAACTATATAAGGTATATATATATATATTGAATATTTAATTTATATACATATATAAATGCGGATTTAGTTGCACATAAACATAATTCATGATTTCATACTAAGAAAGCCACCAGCAGCGACTTTAATACATACATAGATGATATGTTTCCTATCCCAAACATAATAATCAATACTTTTATTTTATAAAATATTGCATTTTAAGATGAACTAACAATCAAAAAAACTCATTTATTAAAGTTTGAAAATATTTTTTCTTATTGTCACTGATAAATTTTACTTGATCTATTTAACCATAACTTTGTTCTATGTTGTTTTTTTTGATATGTCTTAAAGGAATTTTTAATCCTATATACTATACTTGCATGTAATTTTTAATCCCATATACTATATGTGTATGCAAACTTTTTCATCAGTTTAAAAATTAGTAATTTTTCTTGACTCAACATCCAACTCAACTGAGTATAAGATCAAATGAGTATAAAATCAACTGAGTATAAGATTTCTTCATGTATAATTTAGCAAATATTTTGAAAACATATACACATATACTTCATCTATTACAGAACTCAATGTAGGTACTAGGTATATTTCGTGTCTTATTCCTCTGCTGATGGTTCTAGCTTTAAAACATAGCACTACAGTTTTATTTGTTATTGATATACAAAAATAATTATCCATTCTTGCATTTTAACTTTTTTAAGAACGCATCAGCTTCTTCAAGACTTTAATTGTGCTTCTTCAAGGCCTTTATTGTGCTCAAATAGCTATTCAATGGTGATAAAGATAATGTAAATTTTATGCAACAGGTTATATATTTTCATCTAAATAAAGTTTGCACAGTAAATACTTTAGTTTACCATGTCCTTTGAATATAATTTTTTTGATTTGGTGAAGATTTATTTTCCTCATCAATATTTCATTTGATTTCACATCATTGTTTTTGTTAAACACAAAATTTCCATTTTTAACAGTTTTAAAAATGTTCAGCTCATTAGAAGTTTGAAACCATTATATTTCTAACATTTTTTTTGTTTATGATTAATTTTTTTTTTATTTCAATTTCAGTCTTACATTAATATGTAAATTTTAGAGTCATTGAAGGGTTAAGAAATCATTGATAATTTTTTTATTATAACTTTTCCCATTATTACATTTATTGATTTAGTTTTATGAGGCTGTCCTTTTATTTTGTAGCTAAATGTTAAGATAAGTATTTCCTCTAATTCAATTTTTAAGCTGTTTTCACTTTTGGTTTTACTATTTATATTTAAACTTGTTGTTACAGCAATTTTAAAAGATTTTCACAACAATTTATGAAGTTAAATAATTGTTTTAAGAATATTCAAAAAGATATAAGTGATCTTAAAGCAACTCTAAATTTTCAAGAAACAAACCAAGTGTAAAAGATTGTAGAAATTAAAAAGTATTATGATAAAGATTTAAATATTAAATTTGATATAAATATTTGATATAATTGTATGGAAAACTTAATTGTACGGTACGCAGATATGAAATACAAAATGTCAATAAAGCTGCATTACCTGCATTCACACTTGAAAAAAGCGCTTTTGAAATTTGACGTCAAAGTATGGCTTAAAACTTGATTGTAAATGTTCTGGATTTATATATAGTTGTAGTAAAAAAATAATCCAAAAAATAATCACAACAACGTTCAAAAGCTTAATTTTGATGTGCCTCTGTGTCACCAAGTTCACTGTGTCTCCAAGTTTTAAAGAAATTAAACTATAGTTTGTGTTACTTGGCATCATTATTCATTTTAAAGTTTTTTTAATTATATTTGTTTTGGATTTTTGAACTTTTAACTTAGTAGATAAAATAGCAAAGAGCTCAAAAATTTGAAAAATAAATAAATTATTTGAAACTTTTTGAAATTTTTTTTTTTAAATGGCTAGATGATTTATCATTTAGCTTTACACTACACTTTTTGATGCATTTTTTATATTTATATATGCTTAATTTAGTTTTATATCTGCCTAATTTTTTTTATTTATATATGTTTAATTTTAAATCATCCAAAGTAAGACAAAAAGTAAGACAAAAAGTAAGACAAAAAAAGTAGAGGCAAAAGACTTGTAGGTTCAATTGAACAAAAAGTAAAATTTATAAAAACATAAGTTTAGCAATGGGAGCACTTTATTAGAGTTAAAAGTCAGTCAAGTTACCCTATACAGTTAAAGTATTCTCTTCAACTTTATTTTCTATTTGTATTTATAGCTAGATATATAAAAACATACCTATATATAGATTTTTATCTAGTTATATAATAATGTGCAATAGATTTTTATCTAGTAATATGCTATAGATTTTTATCATATAAATTTTTTTTTATTTTTATTATTATTATTATTATTATATATATATATATATATATATATATATATATATATATATATATATATATATATATATATATATATAATGAAAATAAAGTTTTTGCAAACTGAATTTAAATTTACAGATTGCGTGTGAATATATTTAATATATTTATTATAATTAATATATATAAGTAATTCAATGTCTTAATTTTTAATTAAGACATTGAATTACTATTTAAGCACTATTTTTGGATTGTTTTCTATTATAAATTATTTTTAAATTTAATAGCCTAATATATATATATATATATATATATATATATATATATATATATATATATATATATATATATATATATATATATTTTTAAATTTAATAGCCTAATATATATATATATATTATATATATATATATATATATATATATATATACATATATATATATATATATATATATATATATATATATATATATATATATATATATATATATATATATGTATATATATATATATATATATATATAATATATATATATATATATATATATATATATATATATATAAATATATATATCTAAATATATATTTTTTTATATATTATACAGCTATATATATAAATTTTTGATTGAATATATATATATATATAAATATATATATATAAATTTTTTATATATATAAATTTTTATATATATATAAATTTATAATATATATAAATTTTTTATATATTATACAGCTATATATATAAATATATATAAATATAAATATATATATATATTTAAATATATATATATATATATATATATATATATATATATATATATATATATATATATATATCAATATATATCAATATATATCAATATATATATATATATATATATATATATATATATATATATATATATATATATATATATATATATATATATATATATATATATATATAGTTGTCAGAAAGATCATTAATTTATAAGAAATACTACAGGACTAATAACAGAATCTTGTGGTACACCAGAAGTTACTGGCAATAAAGAAAAGTTGGTTCTTAACATTGATAGGACAATAATTGGACAATTGGTCAGAATGTTATGCATAGCTTTTTAAATTAAAACCATAGAAACTATTTTTTAGCATGTAAAAAAACAAGATTTAGTCAAATAATTTAAATAGTTTAGAAAAAATTAAAAAAAAACTTTTGTAAGACTTTGGCAAGAATGTTGTCTTTATGCCAAGAGTTAAATTGAAACTTTAACAATGGAATCCAGAGTGATTTGGACGCCTATTGATGAGTTAACCTGTTTAACTGGAATGGCAAGGAGAGTGAGTTCATTTAATTTGAAGGATGAATTAAAGGGAAAAGTTCTTAACAAATAGTTCTGCGTCATCTTTACCTTTGTTAATCACAATGTTGAAAATTTCCCAAAAGTCTTTAGAATTTAACTTTTGCAAAAAGAATTTAGAAAATTAAGATTATTCGAGCTTAGCATCAGACAGCATTTTAAATTGGTTTCTTGCATTAATAAAAAGGTGAGTGTTCTCAAATAAGTGTTATGAACTGACTAGGGTCAAAGACAGACCTCGATGTTAAAGCCAAATTATTCAGTTTAATGAGAAATCAAGTCACCAATAACAACAATATTAACTATTAAATAAAGAGAAAGAAACAGCTAAAGATTAAAAAACATACCGAGGAAATTCTTTGAATTACTAGTTTTGTTTTTTGATTATTTGGTGTATACAAAATTTTTCCATTTAATAATGATATTAAAAATTCAACTATTGCTGTATTGCCATTTGTTACTTTGAGACTTTCAATAAAACTTTTCAATTTGACTTTGCAAACAGATTTGTCATCTAAAAATGATACCAAAGCATCACATAAACTAAAATTAAAATGACAAATTGAATTTATTTCCATAAAAAAAAAAAAAAAAAAAAAAGAGCATAAACTTATAGATTGAATTTAAAGAATGAAAAAACTTACAATCTCTTCCCAAAGGTTTCATATGAGGCTCTTTATATAAAATTTTTTCCTCTTCAGATGAAGTTGTATATTTCTCATTACACATCAAAGATTTTAAATAAAGATTGTCATGCCAATTATTTACAAATTCAATGGCTGGATTAAAAATTTTCTCATACTCATGTAAAAATCTTGAGTATATACCCTAAAATAATTTTTTTGGTGATACATTTTTAGTTAATTCGAGATAAGTAGAAAAACTTATATAAATTAACAAACAAGTCTATTTCGATATCTTTTTTTCAGGAAAAACATTTATCTAAATAAACTAGCATCAAGAAAATATTTTTGGAAATAAAATCTTTTTAGCTATTTTTATTTAACAGATACCTGAAAATGAAAAAATTCTTGGTTAATTTCGTAACTTAACTTTAGAATTGTGGTTTCGATATCTTGTACAAAGGATAAATTCTATAGAAAAAATCAAATAGTAAACTTTCGTAAAAAAAGCCAAAAGAATTTATTGTAACAATTGAATACCATTAATTGATACCATTAATGCTGCTATAAAACTATTATTTTTCTTCAGAAGCTGAATTGTGTTTGATAGTTGTTTATAGTTCTTACAGATGTCTGATGTTATCATACTCTATAAATAAAAAGATATATATTTTTATCTTTTTTTTTCAATTTACTCCAAGAAAACCTAATGCATAATACAATATAATAAAAAGGTTTTTTGCTGCTTCTTCCTTTGTCATTATTGCTTTTACAGCCAGAGTGGACATTGAACCTTCAATCTTATGATCAAAAGTCAGTGCTCTAACAACTGTAATAGTGCAGTCAATATATTCTACAATGGATAATTAATATAAACTATGTTTAATTAATATAAACTATATAAAATGTACCACAATCTCTAATGTAAACATTACAAGTAACATAAATTCAAACAGTTATATTGTGTAAACAATACATTCAATCTAAACACTGCAGTCAGAGTAAATAATAAGTCAACAGTCAAAAAATTTTATTCTATCAGAATTTGAAATTTTTAATTTTTTTAATTTAAATTTTGAAATTTTTTTCAACTCTATAACTTTTAAAAAAGAACCCATTTACTTATTTTGTATTTTTTTACAAAGATAGCTTTTAATATAAGAGTTTTACGCAGAATTTGTTGTAGTATTCCTTTTTTTGGTACATTAAACTATTCCACCAGAACTTTGACATTGAAAAAATGGGATTAACCCAAACATTTGCAGGGCTAATCCAAAGATTGTTGTTGTTGGCCGCTATTCCTATACTTTAGCATTTATTTAAAAAGTTATATGTAAAGTTATAAATAATTAATTTTACTAAGTTAATTAAATCTCATTAACGTCATTAAATATTGATTGCGGTTTCAGCTTGAATAATTTTTGGGTTTTGTTTGTTTTGTTGAGAAGAAGACAAGTAAACCAAATAATATATTTGAATTAAATTTTTACAGATAAGCATTGTTTTACTTGGTTTCTTTATTTTACTTTTTAACTTTAACTCTATCACTTTTATACTGTGATTGACGGTGATTAATTGTGTTTAAATATGCATTGTACATAATTTTTTTCTGAATTTTTTTAGTTTTCATAATGGTTTTTCATTATAAGAAAAAAAAAACATCTGCCTTATATACTTCAGAAGATATTGAGCAAGCCATAGCAGAAATTCAAGCAGGTGCTTCAATATGTGCGGCTGCATCAATGTATAACATTCCTGTCACTACCCTCTATGACCACGTATCTGGAAAGTCAAAATTTAGTAAAGGGCATCCAACATCCTTTTAGTGAAGAGGAATACATTGTATCCTCATTAGAATATGCATCCGATTTTGGTTGGCCACTAAATCGAAAAGATATTAAAGCAATTGTCACCCAATTTTTGAACAGTAGTGTAGGTAGAGTACTTCCCTGGGATAGTAACAGGCCAGGTAACGACTTCTCACTATGCTTTGAAAAAAGATGGGTTTCTCAAATATCTAAAAGAAAACTTCAGAAGTTTTAACAATTTCAAGAGCTAAATGTCTTTCTGTAAAAAACAAATTTTTTTGAAATTGTTAAAAGAGTTTATGATAAGTATTATTTACATAATAATCCTGACTGATGTTATAATCTGAATGAGTCTGGATTTTCTACCAGTGAAGGAAAAAAACAATGTTTTTTCAGACGCGGCGTACATTTCACCCCCAAATTAAATGCTTCTTGTGGTAAAACTATGTTCTCAGTATTAATTTGTGGAAACGCTACTGGTTTTCTTATGCCACCTCTTGTAGTTTATAAAGGCAAAAATCACTTGGTGTATGGGGGGACCTCATGACGCCAAATATGCTGTATCTAAGTCAGGGTGGATGGAAGCATATGCCTTTGAAAATTGGTTTATCAAGGTAAGTCTGCTAGTAAGACCTTTTCAGCATAAATTTTTGTTTATTATTTTACGCTTTCAATGTGTAGATATGTTAAATTTTACTTGTATTTTTTTTTTAATATTTAAGGTCTTTATTCCTTACAAAATTACTCAACATGGAAAAGATGTGTATATAGCACTATTTGTGGATGGTCATGGCAGCCACCTTACATATATTTTTGCATCAGAGGTAAAATCCCACAAAGTGGCTTTATCTTAAAATTAACATATATAATAAATATTAAAATAATTTCCTAATATAGTTTCATTTGGTCGACAAAGCTATTTTTCCAACTTTACTGACCTAACTTGGTTGAAAATAAACAGAAAAAATTTAGAATCTGGTTTTGTAGCCTCAAGTCTATATTCATTAGATCCATCAAAAGCTGCCAAAAAAGTGCTGGTGACGACAGAGAATACAAAATATAATGACTCTCCTCATCGTGATCTTTGAGCTGCTATTTTAAAAGTGTTGTCACCTACTCTATCCAAAGACACTTTAACAGCTATAAACAATAAAAGAAAAGGAAGAAATCGAGTGCAAGCATAATGTGGAGAGATTATCACTGAAAAAGCTGCCTTAAATCGGAGAAAAGAAGAAGAAGCGGCTTCAAAAATAAAAATAAAAAACTTGTTCAAAATAAAAGGTGAATTTAAAGTATACTTTATTTAAGAAAAAGAAAATATCAGCATTTTATGTATAATTTTATCCTTAAATATTTCTTCAAATTTCTTCTTTAAAAAAACGATATTAACAAGCGTTTTTTGCGCACATTGACTTTTGTTCGAATTAGCCCCTGCATGGGGCTATTCCGAAAAAGGCATATTTTTGTATCAGGCTCTGCAAATACAATATGCCTTTCTTTAAAAATGCTTGAAACATTTATTTGAAACATACAATGTAAAAAAAAAAGAAGTGATTGCAAAAGCTAAAAAGAAAAAAATTACAAAGTTTAAAACAATGTTATTGTTCGGATTAGCCCTGGACTACCCTATATATATATGTATATATATATATATATATATATATATATATATATATATATATATATATATATATATATATGCATATATATATATATGCATATATATATATATATATATATATATATATATATATATGCATTTATATATATATTTAATTTATATATATGATATATATGTATATATATATATATATATATATATATATATATATATATATATATATTTATTTAATTTATATATATTTATATATTAATATATATATATATATATATATATATATATATATATATATATATATATATATATATATATATGTATATATATATATATATATATATATATATATATATATATATATATATATATATATATATATATATATATATATATATATATATATATATATATATATATATATATAGGGTAGTCCAGGGCTAATAATCTTATAAAATAGTCTTACATAATTATCTTCTAAAATTACCCTACATAGTACCTTATATAATAAACCTACATAATTACTTGACATTAATATTTAAAAAAATTATTTTATATACAGTAAGAATAACTGCACTAATAACAAAAATGACTAAATTTACCTTATTCAAAGAACTTGGAAAAATTAACAAGTTAGCTATGGAGCAAAAAAAGGTTTTTGATTCCTAAAAAAACATTTTTTAAATTTTCTAGTTGTAACCAAATTTTAAAGTACAAAATTATTAAAATAAATACAAAAAATATATATAATTGAAAATTATCTATTTTCATATAAGATGAAAAAATAAGAAAGGTAAATCTTTTTAAAAATATTTAAAAGCAATTGTTTTTTATAGAAAAAATTTATTAAAAGTTAATCAAAATGCTTTCAGTTGCAAAGCTATAAAACTTTGGAAAGTGAAGCCAAAACAAACAAGATCTAGCACACTATCAAATTAATGGCAAAAGTTGTTTTAAAGATATGAGTATAAATTTATGATATCAAAGTTGATGAAGTTACAAAAGCTCTCCTTTTTTTTCTGCATTTACAAATTGCTTGCCATAAGAGCAATTATTTATCCACAAGTTTATATATATTCTTGTTGCTTACACTGCCACAAAAGATTTAAATATAATATTGTTGCTTACACTGCCACAAAAAATTTAAGTACAATATTGTTGCTTACATTGTCACAAAAAATTTAAGTATATTATTGTTGCTTACACTGTCACAAAAAATTTAAGTATATTATTTTTGCTTACACTGTCACAAAAAATTTAAGTATAATGTTGTTGCTTACACTGTCACAAAAAATTCAAGTAAAAAAAAAAGAGAACAGACCTATTGGCCTTTATAATATCTGTTATTATGCATCCTGGTTTCTAAAGTCATATTTAATTGCAAACTCACTTTCAAATGATCTTGCTACTTTTAAAAGTGCTTTTTGTATCAAAGATAAATATCCCAAGCTTGGGTCCACATTAGTTACTAGAACGCTATGACATAACTGGTCTGAATACAAGTCTAAAGTTGCCAGTATGCAAAGGCTTAAAGTTAAAGAAGCAGTTGGTGCTGTTAAAGTTATAGAGCAGAAGGTGAAGAAAAATATGAACAGATTATTTCAGTATGAAGTTTTAAACAAGTTCAGGATTAGAAAATCTAAACTACCAATCATATCTGAGCTTTAGGAGCTGCTAGGTTCAGAAAGATGGATCTTGTTGAAAATTCCATATGTTCTTGATGGTACAGTAAAGTAGTAGAGGAAGAAAAAGCTCTAAAGTTGTTGGAAGTATTCAAAAATTAGTCTAAAATTTGACTTGTGTGAACGATCGTGCAGAGATAAAAAAAGTCTTATTTAAGATTTTGTAGGTGAAAACAAGCCTTACAAAATACAAAATAACTTGATGCTGGTGGCCAGGAACAAAAACCTAAAACAAAATTTTCCAAGAATCAATTACAAAATTTATCATTTATCATCCCTGAAATATGTACTTTTTGAAAAATTTTCGCATATTTACTGAAAAAATTTTAGTTCTTATTTTAAATCCCATTCTCTAGTTTTAGAAGACACTAAAGAATGGGATTAAACAGCATGCAAATTCGAATTTAAAAAAGTTGAAATATTGGGACACTAAAATACTTTTTATTCAACATATAATAAAAGCAATATGTAAAAAAATAAAGAAATTAAATTAACTGAATAACTTATATAACCTTTTCACGATTTTCGTCTTTGTTCCAATTAAAGTATTGCAAACCTAACTCTTTTATCTAAAAAAATAGAAAAAAAAGTTACTTGAGACTTACTATACAAAGTATATATAATTTTTTTATCTCTACCAGTAGATTTGTCATATATATATATGTATGTTTATACAGGCTCACCCAGAGCTTTTGTGATGCCCAGGTCCAAAAGTTTAATGGATGTTCTATCTTACTTTAGGACTTAAAATGACAAATACCAAATAATTAGTACAGTTATTTTTTGTTTAATTTCATAGAAAACCAAAAATCAAATTTAATTAATTTTGGTTTTTAAAAACAAACTATTGTAAAATTAAGTCTTAACATTGAATGCATTTTCTTGGCCTTCTTAGCGGAAAAAATAACCACTTCATAAGAAATGTTATAGGTTAAATCTGATTCAATTGAAAGGATTATCAAGTAGCACAATCCTAGTCCATTGTGAAACAAAGATAATCTTTAATGATAGCTAACTTGCTGAAAGATCTTTCAACTTCAAATGTTGAAACAGGCAATACTTGAAAGATTTTAAGTGAAACACGCTTGTGAAAATATTGAATGCAATCCCTTGCCATAAAATTCATTTGGATGTTCGACAGGCTTTTTGATGCCTAGAATATTTCTTCCTACAGAAAAAAAATGCAAAACTTCATCAGAAAATTCCTTTTTACATAAAGTAACGTTTTGCCAGATTCTCAGCTTTTAAACCTAGTTCTTTATCTGTATGAGATTTATTTATTTATTTATTTGTTAATTTAGGTGCCCCAAGAAGACCTAACAGTCTTGTTACAGAGCACCGTGGAAGTGTATTTAACCAGGAAGTTCACGCCTCCTCCTTACTGTGACGCAAAAATAAATCCAGAGCTCGTTTCAAACCTGGAATTCCTGCTTATAAAGCAAGCGCTGTAACCACTGTGCCACGGCCGCACAAAATCTGTAAAGATTTTTCAAAGGAAGAAAACTTGTTACACTCCTCTTATATTACTTTAAATCTTGATCTCATTTGAACAGTCAAATTGTCAAGTGCAACATTGAAGACATTACACTTAAAGTTTTTTGATGCTTCTTTTTGGTTGCATGCAGCAGTTTCATCAGGGAAGACTTTTTTTTTTGCGTTAGCAAACATAATTTCATAAAATTTCAAAATCTTTGCAACTTCTGTTGCTTCTATCAGGTATAATTAGGTCCCAAGACAAACGGTTTCAATCCAGATCTGTCAAAAGGCCAATTCAGAATCTTTACTACACCAATGAGAATGAGTTAAGTGTATTGAAGCTGAAGACTCACATTGCTTACTGCTATCAAACATGTAAACATGTCTGTTTAGTTAGATTTTGCACTTCATTACTACTTTCACCTGGAAGGTCTTACACTTTTGGACGCTGTAATGATTTGAAGATAGTGGCTTGACTGCTTCAGTCCTTAAGCTCCACTGTGTAACAGAAAATTTTTGGGTCACTACCTATTAATTAATTAGATTAACATCTGCATTATAATTGTGTATACATACAATTGTCCCATTTATTTACTGGTAATAATGATGTTTTAACTATCATGCTACTGTTATTTTGAATAATTGTCTATATAATTAACATACTGCTTTCAAAAATAATGTCTTTGTAATTAATGTAACAATAATATTAAGGGTGTTATAGTATTGTATTATTTTACTGTTGGGTCGTTCTGTGCCAAATGGTCTAAAATTTTAGGATTCCAACATGGACCCCCACAGATTTTGATGAAACTTTGTGGGTTGGTTTGTATCAATGAGAAAAGCAATTCCTGAAAATTTCAGCTTCAAATCTTATGTGGTTCATGAGATATGGCCATTTGAAATTTCTGATTTTTCCAAAAATAAAAGCTTCAGTAGCAAAAACATGTTTTGTTCATACTTTGAAGCTCTGTATTTTAAAAACTAAATTTCAGAAAACCTTCTAGTTTTTTTTATCATATACAATGCTAGGCTTACTTTGTTAAAACTTTGACATTAAATTTTTAAATGTCACATTTTATCCATAATGGCTGCCTAAAAAACCAAAAAAATTGTTTGCAGATATAGAAAGTTGATTTTTGATGGGTCAATATACAAAACTAGCAATTTAAGAAGTAAAAATACATATCTTTTTAGTTTCTATATATGGTAGGCTTCCTAATTTTCAGAAATTTGCTGATATGATACAATTCAGTAAGAAATTATGGACCCCTAAAAATGGCTCCGGCTAGAACTTACAAAATTGTGCCTTCCTTTAAATCCACTGGTAACCTATGATCAACACTGATTTTCATGATATACTTTTTTTCTACTCATTTAGTAGACTTTATTAAAGTGATTTCAGAAAAAAAAATAGTGGGTACTCATGGGGAAGTTACAAAGTCAGAACAATGAAGTTGGCACAAAATGCATTAAAAACGCAAAAAATAGAGATATTGATGTACTTTAGTATTCATTATTTACTGCAATGCAAAAAAATGTATATTTATATGAAAGTATATCAAAATCATTGCTACAAATTAGCTTTAAATTAGGACTGAATTAAACTCAGGTTTTAAATAACCTTAGTTGCCCCCCCCCCACCCTGTCTTTTTATTTTTTAACATATATATCTGGAAGAAAATACATATGTATTTTCTCCCAGAACTTATCTTAAAAGAAATATGTTATTGTATGTTTTACTTTACAAAATGTGTCTGGTTTTTTTTCTAATGCATGAAGTGTTAATGCACAAAATAACAATTGAACATACACAGTTAAAAGCTGTGACATGGCAAACAAGCTATTGGGTGTACCTTTTATCTTTAATTTCGTATATAAAATTTATCATTCTATACTTATTTATTGTGTCAAAACTTATGGAAACTTTAGTTTACACTTCTAAAATTGAAAATAAATATATTTTTTTTAGATAATAATTAAAAATAAAAGGCAAGTTCATCTTTAGATCTAACTCAATGTTGCATTGGAAAAAAATTAAATGAAAATTGTCATGAAGGAAAATTTACGCAAATCAAGAAAATTAAATTTTTTGAGGAATTAACAAAAAAAGATCAAGAGCTTGTGCACTTAAGATGTAAAGTAAATCCTATTAAAACTATTTGTAATCACCATGAAAAGATCTTCTTGGATAGATTTGAGTCATCGTATGTTGGAAGCTTTTGTTGCGATCCTTTTAACAAACACAAAATTAAAATTAAAAGTATTTAAAAATAGATTAACTTAATGATTATATTAAAGATAAAGTCTTATTTATTTATTTAGTGTTTTATCATATATTTTTTTAGAATCTGTCAGAGTAATCAGTGCTGCTGTTGCAAAGGAATTTGATTTAATACCTGGTTATAAGCTTTGTACAGAATGTCATAAAATATTGCACTTAAGAAAACAAGAACATGAAAGCGATTCATGTAAAAATCAAGATAACGATTTTAACGGGATTCATATTTCAAAAGAAAACTTTAATTTAAGCATTAACACCTTTGGTTGTTCACCTCTAAAACTAGTAGCTTATAAAGACAGAGTCAGCTATGCAAAAAGAAAGATTAACAAGATCCATACTGCAACCAAAAAGAAAATAGCAACTGTTTTAGATGTTTCTCCGGATTTAATAAATGATGAACCAAAAACAAAAGAACTTTGTTTCAAAAGTAAACAAGATTTGGACTCACTAATGGAATTAATTAAAGCAAAGTTTGATATTTCTTCAAAACCAGAAAAACTTAAATTGCTAACTTTGGTTCCTGAGAGTTGGAACATTAACTATACAGAGAAATATTTTTCTGCTTCCCAAAGAATGATAAAAACTGCAAGGCATTTGAAACAAATGCATGGCATAATGGCGGAGCCATCTAAAAAAGAAGGAAGATCTATTAGTGAGAAAGTAAAAAATCTAGTCCATGAATTTTACCAATCAGATGAATACTCTAGAATGTGTCCAGGAAAAAAACAGTATGTCTCAATCCAAGTTGATGGTAAAAGACAACATTTTCAAAAAAGACTGCTATTACTTAATATAAAAGAACTTTATTTAGAGTTTGTTAAAGTTTCCTTAGATGTCAAGATTGGATTTTCTAAGTTTTGTGAACTTTGACCAAAGTGGTGTATTCCTGTTGGAGGTGCTTCAGGTCTCCACTCAGTATGCGTTTGTGAGTACCACCAGAATGCCAAACTTTTAGCATTAAAAATACCAGATATTTCAGACTATAAAAATCTCTTGACATTAGTTGTATGTGACTTAACAAATCGAGACTGCATGCTGTATTGTTGTGATAACTGCCCAGATAATGACACACTTAAAGAGTATCTTACTACTTTGTTTGATAAACATAGCATTGAAGAAATCAACTTTAATCAGTGGCAAAAAGCTAACAAAAAACATGATGTAGTTCCGGTAACTCTTCCAGTGGACGATTTTATTGAAAAAGCTTGTCAACAAATAGACCAATTAAGAGACCATCACTATATAGCCAAAAATCAAGCAGCATATTTGCAGCATCTAAAAATCACATTAGCAAGTAATCATATTTTAATATTATTAGACTTTGCTGAGAATTACAGTTTTTTAATTCAAGATGCAGTACAAGGTTTCCATTGGAACAATAGCCAAGCAACATTGCATCCTTTTGTTATTTACTTTATGGAAGAAAACAAGATAAAATGTAAAAGTATTTGCATTATCTCAGATAATTTGCAACACAATACAAACTCAGTACATTGTTTCATTCATGAAGTATTAAAACATATAAAAAAACATGATACCCTACTTTAACCACTGCATTTATTTCAGTGATGGTGCAAGTTCACAATACAAAAATTATAAAAACCTATCTAACTTATGTCACCATAAACAAGATCATGACGTATCTGCGGAATGGCATTTTTTTGCTACATCACATGGAAAGAGTGCGTGTGATGGTGTTGGGGGAACTGTCAAAAGACTTGTAGCAAAGGCAAGTTTACAATCACTAGTTGATTCTATCAATTCATCTAAAAAAATGTATGATTGGTGTAGAAAAAATGTTGATGGAATACATTTTCAACACATTTCAAATGATGCAGTTACATTACATTGCATGAAATTTAAATTAGAAGAATGTTATGCTACTTGTTCAACAATTCCAGGAACAAGAAACCACCATTGTTTTATACCACAATCATTAACTACTTTACAAATGAGACGGGTTTCATTCGACAATGTGTTTACTAATGTAAATATTTCAACAATGCAACAGAACTATACAATTCCACTTGCATCTCTTTCACCCGGAATTTATATAGCATGTGTTTATGATGGAAAATGGTATTTAGGTAATATTGTGGAAATATCTGAAGAAAATCAAGATATCCTTATAAAGTTCATGAAGCAGTCTATTTCCTCTAACACTTTTACTTGGCCACATAGAGAAGATATTTGCTGGGTTCCAATAATGCACGTTCTATGCAAAATTTCATCTTTAAAAGTGCAATCAGTAACTGGTAGATGCTATGAACTATCAGCTCAAGAAAAAACTGAAATAATACATTTGTACAATAGTATGTTTAATAACGAAATTATATAATAACAAAGCAAAATTTGTATAAGCTTGATCAATCGAAAAAATGTATTAAAGCATACTTGAATGATTCCATCTATATGTTGATGTTGTGTCTAATAAGCATTTACAAATAAATAACACAGCTATTATTTGAGTATGTTCAATACTTGGTGCATAAAGATACTTCATGCATCAGATATAATAACAGAAACACTGCATAAGCTAAAATGTTTAATAAACAGTAGTTTAAAATGTTATCAAGAAATAAGTTCTTCTTAAGATAAGAATGTTCTGGGCAAAAATACGCATTTAAAAAAATAAAAATACAGGGTGGAGGGGGGGCAACTAAGGTTATTTAAAACCTGAGTTTAATTCAGTCCTAATTTAAAGCTAATTTGTAGCAATGATTTTGATATACTTTCATATAAATATACATTTTTTTGCATTGCAGTAAATAATGAATACTAAAGTACATCAATATCTCTATTTTTTGCGTTTTTAATGCATTTTGTGCCAACTTCATTGTTCTGACTTTGTAACTTCCCCATGAGTACCCACTATTTTTTTTTCTGAAATCACTTTAATAAAGTCTACTAAATGAGTAGAAAAAAAGTATATCATGAAAATCAGTGTTGATCATAGGTTACCAGTGGATTTAAAGGAAGGCACAATTTTGTAAGTTCTAGCCGGAGCCATTTTTAGGGGTCCATAATTTCTTACTGAATTGTATCATATCAGCAAATTTCTGAAAATTAGGAAGCCTACCATATATAGAAACTAAAAAGATATGTATTTTTACTTCTTAAATTGCTAGTTTTGTATATTGACCCATCAAAAATCAACTTTCTATATCTGCAAACAATTTTTTTGGTTTTTTAGGCAGCCATTATGGATAAAATGTGACATTTAAAAATTTAATGTCAAAGTTTTAACAAAGTAAGCCTAGCATTGTATATGATAAAAAAAACTAGAAGGTTTTCTGAAATTTAGTTTTTAAAATACAGAGCTTCAAAGTATGAACAAAACATATTTTTGCTACTGAAGTTTTTATTTTTGGAAAAATCAGAAATTTCAAATGGTCATATCTCATGAACCACATAAGATTTGAAGCTGAAATTTTCAGGAATTGCTTTTCTCATTGATATAAACCAACCCACAAAGTTTCATCAAAATCTGAGGGGGTCCATGTTTGACCCTGGTTCACTTGGCATGGAATGACCCTGTTGCACTATGATAATGAGGGTGTTGTACTATTTCTATAACATCTCACAAATTTTAGTAATTTAAAAAATGATTGAAATGTAGTACATACTAAAGGTATGCATTGGAATTATTATTTTTTTATTAAGCTAATTGTTTGTTCTGGTCTTAAGTTTACTCTAAAACTAAAAATAGTTTGGCAATAAATAATGAATTTATTTGAACTAATAAGTAAATTTCAATTATTTATTAGTTCAATGGTAAAAGTAATTTCACATCTATATTATTTTTATTGATTTAATTATTGTCTTAAACCTAAATAAAATAACCAAACTAATAAAATATATTTTTGGATTATTTAAGGATTGACAATTTAAAAAAAATAAAATTCAGCCCAGAATTTCATGCTCCTACTGTGAAGGGTTTTTTACCAAATTCTCTTGTTTCATGCAAGTTTTCTTATAAAAATCAAACAACATTTTTATTGATATTCTAAACTGCAACTTTTTTCAAAATTCCCCCTCCCCCTCCCTAAAATATTTCTGGCAATTGATAATTACTGTATGGTCAATAAAAAGTTTAAATTAAATGTTCTTTGTATTTAACTTTTTAATAGATTATGAGTTTTAATAACTACTGATCCCAATAACTTTTTTGAAAAAAATCATCAAGAATATTAATGAAAAAAAGAATATCAAGTTAATAAATAAATTAGTTAAACTTAGAATTTATAAATTTAGGCCACATTATTTAGTTCACATAAGTGCTGCATCAATCATAAAACTTATTTTTTTATTAGTTATTTTTTATATGCAAGAATATTTTTAACAATTTGAGAACTTTTTTTAAAATCTAGACAAAATTTTTTACCGCTTATTTTTAATAATTTTACAGTTATGTAAAATTATTAAAAATATTATTAATTTTTTTTTTTAATAATTTTACAATTAGGTTAAAAAATGTTAGCTGTTGTAAGCTATTCAAAAATGGCAGTTTAATATATAACTTATCAATTTTAAAAGTTGTATTAGTAATTTTGTAAATGTATTTTTTTATTTATAACTTTTTTTTTTATATATTCACTTGTCAATGTTTTGGATCCATTTTTAGTCAAATCAGGTTTAGTTAAATCAGCCTTCAGTCAACAGTAGCAATCTCAGAAGTGAAGGAGAAGATGCAATTTTTTTATATTTTTTTACTTTTGTTACAAAATACTTAATCATTTAACTTGAAAATACAAGCCTTGACACAAAATGCACCTGTATGAAGAAACATGTTAACTATGGTACTACCAGTAATAATTGTACAGTATGTGTGAAAAATTTATTGCTGCACACAGACTTTATGTGTGACAATTAAAAGCTTTTTTTATTCTAGACAAATCCAATATTTATCTTAGCATTATATTTGTCAGTAATAATAATGTATAAATAAATAAATAACTGACAAAAATTTTTTCTATAAACTAAAAATACTTAAATGTCTCTTATAATATCGCACTTAATAAGTTGTTTGCACAAGAAAATGCTAGAAAGTTTCAATTTAATTTTAATTACAATGGTATAAGCATTATAGCAACATCTCAAATTAATCAGCTACTTTACCTTACATCTCAAAAACTCTACTACTTTAGAATTCATTTCATATATAATTCCAGTTTCACTCAGGAAGATATTAAAAAACACTAGCAAACTTATACAAACTTTAAAGTCTGAGCTATTTAACAGACCAATACCAATACCAATACAATACAATCAATAATTAATATTTAAGTTAATCTGCTCATTCTCATTTTTCATTATGTTATTGTTTCACATTCACTTTTTTTTTTTAACTTATATTTCTGTATACCTTTAGTATCTAAGAACATTGCTTAATTGGTACTTTTTTGCAGCTTTTAATTAGTAATTTTTAATAAAATAATAAAAACAAAAAAACATTTATTTAAAAAATTAAATGTTACACAATGTGACTCAATCTAATTAATCATGTACTACTTCTCATGCCAACACTAAATATCAAAATGCTTTAACTTTAATAATACCTTAACTTTACTTTGTAGTAAAGCATTAATAGTGTAATTTTCAAGTTGACTGTGTAAATCTATCTTCTCATTTCTTTGAAGTGAACTCAGAAATAATTTTACTACTTCTAAATAAAATATGTATTAATTATACAAAATATAATAACCTAGGAAAACTCTACATATATACTATATGTAGAAATATATATATATATATATATATATATATATATATATATACATATAGATATAGATATATAGATATATATATACATATATATATATATATATATATATATATATATATATATATATATATATATATATACATATATACATATATATATATATATATATATATATATATATATATATATATTTATATATATATATATATATATATAATATATATATATATGTATATATATATATATATCTATATATATATATATATATATATATATATATATATATATATATATATATATATATATATATATATATATATATATATATATATATATATATATATATATATATACTATAGCATCTTTATATGTGCAATTGTTCACTTTTTTTGCTTATCTAAATTGATATAGATTTTTGAGAAAAAGAAAAAGAAAACGAAGAATAATTAATGAAAAAGTTGCTGACCCATCCCAAACCCTTAGGCTATGTAGCAGTACACCAATGCGAGTCAAGCTATTTGTCAGTTGATGTATGTACTGAAGCCCCCAGCAGCAGGCTATTTCAGTATGACGTCATCATGCTCACCTAACTCAGCAGTTTAAGATATACACACACACACACACACACACACACACACATACATATATATATATATATATATATATATATATATATATATATATATATATATATATATATATATATATATATATATATATATATATATATATATATATATATACATGTACATATATGAAACCTGTCACAAATAATTCATATATATATACATATATACATATATACATATATATATATATATATATATATATATATATATATATATATATATATATATATATATGCATAATATGAAAACATTTATTTTTCTATTATACTTAAAAAATAAAACTCTACCGTCATTAGTAAAATCATTAAGAATATTATTGTAAGCCAGTGTAATATTGGCATAAAGCATATGGAGCTTCTGGTCGCTCTGTAAAGCTTCTTGAATCTTCTGTAAAACTGATGCATTTGTAATAATAGGCTCAATATTTTGAACAAGTTTGTATAAACTAAAAATATGAATATATATTTCAAACATTAGTTTTAGTAGTAGAAAACAAAACAGTTTTTAAATAAATAAGTTATAAGATTTTAATCTATCTATTTAAAAATTTTAGGATACATAATTTGATAAAATTAAAAGATAAAAATATATCTTAATGCAATTTAAATATTATGTACAAAATATAAAAGTATAACTCATATAAATATGTACAAATAACCACAATAAATATACAAATGTGTAAATATAAATATATTTATATAAACATGTAAAATAAGTAATTAAATATTATAATTGAAAACTCAACATCAAAAATAAAGAAATTCATTTATCTTATTCAAGTCTTTAATTTTTAATATCATAGAAAATGAAAAATGTTTTCTAATGTTTACAAGGAAGAACTTTGTTTTGTGACAAAATCAACGTTACATATGCTAATAACTGTTTTTGAAACTTCTAATTATTTTAAAGCTTGAAAAATTTTATTGCAATTCAATTTCAATTTTTTTTTTAAAGTATTACATGTAGAGGATTGGTAACAATTTATTTATATTTGAAGTCATTTCTCTAGATTTGGTCTTTAATTTATTTGCTGCTGAAAAATCTTTTTTACATTACTACAACAGTTTGTAGCATTTAACACAGTATAACATAACAAAGTATTCAAAAGGTTTTTACAATATAATTTAAAAATAATAATATCGAAGAAAGGAGACAAAGAATAGAGTTGAATAGAGAGGAAGAAATTTCATTGATAACATCAATAAAAATGATGATAGAACTATTCAAATTCAAATTTTCAAGATACCATACTTCTCCCTATTAATGTAACTAACGCGCAAAAGTTCAAGCAAGATGTTTTTTATGCTTTAAATCCTTAATTTGATTTCTTTATTTTTTATTTACAAAGAAATTGATATTGTGTTCTTATTCTTTTGTTTCTAAAACTTACTTAATTTAAGAGGTAAATAAATAGATAAAAAAAATATGCTTATGAAAGTTATTTGCACACAACTATACTCTTGACTCCACATGTTACAATAACATGTAATTCTATGTTCTGACAAGACCTATGTTAATGCTGTTGATAATACTTGGGATGTTGCTATTAGATGCCTAATAACCTTTATGATGAATTTACAAATATTAATGCTTACATGTCTTGCAATTCATAGAACAGTGTTGACAAGTTTTTTGAATGTTTTAATAGTTTATCAGCTCAAATTTAACATTTGTATTTCCAATACAAATGTTAAATTTGTTATAACTAGTGATTTTAATTGTGATATGCAATTTCCAACCCTGTTCGATAATTTTCTAATTTTTTTTTGAGGAATATCATTTAAAAGCTAATAAATACCTTCCACATGTATTATCTTTTTGTGAAGAAAAATAATTGTCAATTTGGACAAATTACATTTTTTTCAAGAGTTTTGTACAAATGCTATTTATCACAACAACAACAAAAAAAGTGAACATACAATTTAGTAAAAACCTATTTTAAATTTTGGCCTACTGTGACCTATAAAAAGCATAAAATAAAGTCTTTTATCTTCTTCCTACTCTAACTCAGGTCTTGAAAATGTCTGTTACACGTGGCATGATCACAATGAGACCCTGTTTAACACATTCAAGTAAAAATGTAATACAAAAAATACTGTTTTGACACTTTATTTAGTAACCTTTCTAAAATAATTTCAGGTGTAATTTTATGCTATTTATTGGTATGTTGGTCAAACAGCTAAATTTTTATTGGCTGGAATTATGTCCAAAGCATTTTCAGTAAGTAATGGAATGTGTCAAGAAGATTTTGTCTCTCTTCTTTACTATTTCTTTATTAATGAACTTATCAATTTACATAATACAAGTCCCAAAGGCGGTTTGGGTCTATTATACCGATATACAGCTCCACCACAAAAACTCTATACCACACATTGTTTTCTTTTGGATCCATGGTTTACAGAAAAATCTGACATGCACTTATTGTTTACTAGTTTTACTGTAAAGGTATAGAGGTTGTGTGTAGAAACCTCTATACCTTTATAGTAAAACTAGTAACCAATGAGACTATGGAATTAATTTCTAGAAATGATTGTGAAAACATTTTTTCCTGAAAACCTCGATGCGGTGACCTTTTTGTTTATGCATAAATTATTTATAAACAAAAATGTCATAGTCAGTTACTATAGTAACTGATTATGATAATTTGTATAAGCAAAAAAAAAAGATCTCAAAGATTAATAGTTGTATCTCAGATTTAGTACAAGAACAATGGTGAGGCATGGCCACCAAGAGGAGGGGGGAGGGGTGAAAGAGACAGTGGGGGTGAAAGAGAGTAAGGGCGCCAGTCGGGATTGCTGTGCCAGGCGGCGTGACGGCTCTTGGCGGCATTACTTCAAATGCGAGGCATTACTTCACATCTACAACTTGATTCTGCTGGTTTCAGTCGACCTACAAAAGATAACTACTGTACTAACCCAGTTGGTATCGGACTGTTACATGAACGCAGTGTTACATCGAACTGTTAGATGAACGCAGAACGTGTACTGCACATAGACTATGTGCAGTGCACTATTTCGACACTGAGAAACAAACCATTAACCCTTGGTTAACTTGCCTGAAGCGAAATCTACTCGGCGACTCTAGCATTGCTAAATGTAAGAAAATTATATTTATAAAATAATACTTTTGCATATATATATCAGAAGATGTTAAGTTAAGTTATACATTTTTACATGGAACTATTGGGGTGAAAAAAACATTAAACAGACTGAACAGATTAAACAGGTTAAACAGATTAAACAGACATATTAATAAACTCAAAAAAGCTAAGAAAATTAAAGATATCATTATATTTAAAATCGTTTTAAATTTTTTTTAGGGGTGGGGGTTACAAAATTGTTGTGTAATATTGAGGGGAAGGGTCAATAAAATCTTATGATGCGTTGCAAGGGGGAATAAGGAGATCAAAAGTGTTAAAAAATCAGGAGAAGTAATTTATGGACGACCCCTAAGGACGTTCAATTAATACCCACTGGAAAATGATAAATTCTATACCAACAGGTACATTACCAAAACTTAGCTAAAGCAAATTCTTAAGAATCGTTTTTTATAAGAATGAGGCAGGTTGAAATAGTTGAGTTATTGAATTTTCTTGAAAATTTCAGAGATATCTTCAAATCATTTCATAAGATCAACGAAATTAAGGTCAGGTCAGGTTTTCCTGCTACTGGTAACATGTAACCCAGTACAACCTGCTCCATGTCCTGCTGCCTTGTAGGATACGCTTTTTTAGGCAAAGGCTAGGAGAAGTTAACTCCGAATTAAAACACCCCCTGCCTTGGGGCTCTTGGTTGAGTAAAGGCTAGAGATGATGTCTCGATAAAAATACTCATCTTGGGCAGATGTTACATGCATCCAGCTGCTGTCTTGTAGAAGGCCTCCTAGGCAAAGACTTAAGGGGTAAACAGATTCTATCTGTTGACCAGCCTCGCACCCCTTCCTCATCTATTAGGCTGGCGCAGATGTATTCTTAATACATTGTTTCCAGTTTAGGATGTTGAACGCTGGATCTTCTTGACTCAATGCGTGGGTATTGCTTGTGTTTCTATTTTTATGACTGGGCAACTCATTCTATTATCTCCTAATGAGGGTACAGCTCTAAAACTCAGTTTTATGGTTCTGAGGCCGGCTGGTAGTCAGGTTTCCCAAACTCTGTGGTAGCTCTCAGAGAGGCTGATTCCATCAACAGCCGAAAAATATCAGAGTACTAACAGTGCCATGTTGCGCATGGATGGTGTCCCTGTTTGTACTTTTGGTGTGCATTGCAGAGGCCACATTTGGAGCCCTTTGTTACGGCTTAGGGTTTATTAATAGTAATGAGGCTATTGCTTAGTTGTTAAATAGTGTACTGAGTACTATCTATACTTGAGTCAAGTTCTTTATAAATTTAAAATGACTAAAGTACCTAAAACTAAAAAACACAAAAAACCATCGTCATCACCAAGTTCTCTAAACCTATCATTTACTAATATTCGTGGTTTTCGAAGTAACTTTTCTTCTGTTGAGTCTTATCTCTTGCAAAGTTCACCAGACCTACTTGCTCTTTGTGAGACTAATTTGAGTTCGGCTGTCCCATCTTGTGATCTTAGTGTTGATGGTTATCTTCCTTTAATTCGTAAAGACTCCAATAATCACATGCTTGGCCTGGGCATCTACATTCGTAAGAACTCACCCATTTGTCGTGAAACTAGGTATGAATCTACAGACTATTCATTTATGTGCTTTCGTTTAGCACAACTTCACTCTATCGCCTTTCTCTTTGTTCTATATCGCTCTCCTTCATCCCAAGATTGCACTATTCTTGATGTTATTTCTGATCAAATTGACCAAGCCCTCTCTCTCTATCCATCGGCCAATATCGTCGTTGTTGGTGACTTTAATGCCCATCACACCGATTGGCTTGGCTCTAGTGTCAGTGACTCTGCTGGCGTTAAGGCCCTCAACTTTTGCCTTTCTCAATCTCTAACTCAAATAGTCAACTTTCCAACTCGTTTTCCAGACAACCCTAATCATTTACCTTCTCTACTCGACTTATGTCTTGTTTTGGATCCTAGTCAGTGCTTAATTTCTCCACATTCACCCTTAGGTACTTCTGATCACGGTTTGATCTCTCTAAAACTATTATCAAATTCTTCTACTTCATCAGAATCCCCCTATCATCGTACCACATACAACTACCTTAAAGCTGACTGGGACTCTTTCCGTGATTTTCTTCGTGATGGCCCTTGGGTAGAAATCTTTCGTCTTCCTGCTGACAAATGTGCTTCTTAGATAACTTCGTGGATTCAGGCTGGCATGGAATCTTTTATTCCCTCTCGACGATTCCAGGTCAAACCTCACTCTTCTCCATGGTTTTCCTGACATTGTACTGTTGCAATTGGTAATCGAAACCATTACTTCCATATCTATCAGCAAAACAATTCTCCAGAAAACAGACATCTGTTC